GGGACCAGACTCCTTTCAGTGGTGCCCAGTGATAGATTAAAGGGCAATGGGCACAAACTGAAACTCAGGAAGTTTCATCTTAATAGGAGGAAGAACTTCTGTACTTTGAGGGTGGCAGAGCACTGGCACAGGCTGCCCAGAGAGGTTGTGGAGTCTCCTTCTGTGGAGATATTCAAAACCTGCCTGGTTACGTTCCTGTGCAACCTGCTGAAGAGGTCCCTTCCAACCCTGACCATTCTGTGATTCTGTAACTTACAAAATTATTCAGACTGATTTTCTGTTGCCCAGTGAATCAGAAAGGCAAGAAGGTGCTTGAGTCCAGTCTCCCTATCTTTGCTGAGTATTCTAACAATCTAGGTAAAAAAGAAGTACTATCTTTTCTTCCACTAGGAAATCTAGTGAAAAAAAGAAAAAGAAAACAAAACACTTTAAAATCTATAACTGAGTGTAAATATGGCTATGAATCAGCTTTCTTAACTGATGTACTATACAGATGTAGTATATACCATTTTTAGTTCTATCAATTTAGGCAATAAAGCGGAAAACTTGATCCTGTCATTAAGTCAGGAAATGAGTAGGGTTGGCCTCTGACAGGTTCTGATTTGGGAAGAAATCTTGAGACTAGCACACAGTCCAAGCGTAAAGACAACTCCTCACCATAAAACGAAGGAGGAGGCATCCGTGTAAGAAAGGATATTTGCTGGCCAGAAGCCATGAATATTTTTCTCTGGACCTGACATATTTGGTCTTACATTTGTTGTTCAAAGGTTAGTATCTGAAGAACAGTTAATTACAAGGGATGATAAGGGGCAGAGTGCACATGTGTATGGGACCTGAAGAAAAAATAAAAAATTTTAAGGACAAGTAAAGTAATTGAACAACGAATGTATTGCTGAAAACCAAACATTTTTTACTTATCATGCTATGATAATGCCTCACTGACAGTTGCTGTTAGGATCCCTCTTGTCCCCTTGTTTCCCTAAGGTCTGGCATTCCTTTCTTGTGAAATAGAGCAAGAAGTGATATAGTGCTGTTTTTGCAATGCAAAATTGAAGAGGATGTTTGGATACTATACTGGTTTATTAGTTTGTTGTGTGAGAACCAGGTAGCAGACACACCAGGGGAGGGGATGGTTGTGGTTTTCCTTATCCTGAGCATCTGGTGTACTTTCTGTCTTTTTACTCATACACTCAGGAAATATTTTGTTTCTCCAAGACGGGCAAAGGTGTACACTGCGAACTTCTAGATGCATCTATAGTTTTTTCTGAGCAGAGACATTAATGGAAAAAAACAAGCTGTGAAGGTTGCCTAGTAGCTAAAGAAAGTACAGCCAAGGCTGAATTCAATCTATTATGGCTAAATAGTGCTTAGAATTGCTGCTATTCAGAGGATTACACATCCCAGTCCAATATAAAAGTGAAACCACTTTTCCCTGATCATTTATTAGGCATTATCAAGTTTTGAAGTCCAGTCCCTAAAGGTCATCTTTTTTTGTGCTTGCTTTACAAAATGTCCATGTGTCTGAGCTGAATGTCATTTTTTTCTTTATTCCAGAGTTTGCTTTCTCAAGTGGCTTTTGGTTTTGGTACAGAATACTTGTCACGCTATGAAGAGCAAGGTCTTGGCCTGCAGTGGGATAACATCGGAACCAGTCCCTTGGAAGGAGATGAATATAGTTTTCTTTTTTCCATTAAAATGATGCTTTTTGATGCTTTTCTCTATGGAATACTTTCTTGGTATCTTGATAATGTTTTTCCAGGTATGTCAATTACTTATTCATACAAAGTAGTGGTAATTGTTGTAAACTGTGTTAGTGTAATCAGTCTGAGTATTTCTCTGTCAGCAAAAGGGTATTTGACATTGTAGACTGTGAGTCTTATCCAGTATAGCACCACTGGTTTATTAAGGGCTTCCACTTTTCTCTCTTTCTTTTTCCTTTATTCTATTTTAGTCCTGAAAAGAGTGGAAAAGGAGGAAAGAGCAAGAGGGAGGATGTAATTTCTGGTCCTGTTTTAAAATTTAAATAGAAAATAAATCTACAAAAATATAATCTGTTAAAAGCCAATTTGTGTACATATTATTCTTTTGAGAAGCTTCAACCATTTCTAGTGAGAATGTTTTAAATTTTTGAAAATATAGAAATAACAGTTCTAATTCCCATATATACTATGGCCACATTAGGCCAACTGTTTCTCAAAGGATGGTACTATTTCCTGAGACATATACTGTGTCCTAGGCAGGTGTGAAAGTTCCTGTGTGGATTTATTTTATTTCTAAATGGAAATCCTGGTTCTGGTGTGAGTTCACAAAAGGACTTTCTTTTTTATCAACTCCAAAATTTGGGAACTAACTTCATGAGAAAATGGTTTGTCCTTGTAGCTTAAATGGTTATCTTGCTACTTACTGAATATTGCTATGGTATAATGCATGCAGACTCTTATGCTGTGCAAGCAAGTAAGCATTCTTTTCATTAATTTATTACTCCCATGTGTGAACTGCAGTTCCAGAATGTGTTTCTTGGCAGATGGCTGTCTTTTTTCTTTTTTTTTTCTTCTTTTTTTTTCTTTGCTTGAGTGGTTACTCAGAATTTGAGATCTTGCAGATTTTCTAGCTATGAAGGAAAATTAATGATGGATAAGGTAAGATGATGCTTGTCTGCACATATCACTTATGATAACTAATCCAAATCGAGAAGAGATAAGAACTTCTTAAATGATTTTAGATGTGTCTGAGGATATTTTGCTTCAAAATTAAAATATGGCCTTAGGTCTGCTTTGTTGGTCTCCCTAACAAAGTAAGCTATGCTACACCAAATTAATGCCTTTTCAGTTTTTAAGAAATGTGGTCTTACAAAGAAGTTTAATGCAATTTTAACATACTTATTTTCAAAGCTGCTTTGCAGTAGCTTTCCTAAAAGTTCCTCTTTGGAGAAGCCTGTGCTGCAACTCTATTTATTTAAAAAAGACTGGACAATGTACTATTTCTTAGGAATTAAACAACAGGAGTTTCTTTGCTCAGAGATCCAAGTTGTTTTTTTTCAGCCAACACTTTACGCAAAAGTAATGCCTCTCAGGGCTTCTATTCATTATCTTCAGTTCCTCCTAATATTTACTCTGAGTGTCTCCTTGTCTTTTTACTTCTCTGTTTCTGTAGAATTTATCATAGCATTTGTCTCACACACTTGCAGACCTACCCAATCAATACTGTAGTGTTTGAGCTTACTATATGAATTCCCTGGGTAACCCTTTGAACCATATGGTTCAGATTCTGCTCAAGTTTTCTCTGCAGCCAACCACCCACTGGCACACTGGTCCTTTCGCTATTTGAGCATTCTGCTCCGTAATGGAGTTCACTTGGGTTTTGCATTCATCCTGAATGAGAAGCAGTTGTTTTAGCCACCAGCTTCAAAGGAGTGTAATCCAGTCCCTAACAAGTGCAAGGCAAACTGCTTATGAATGCAGACAGAGCATTTGTGTGCATTAATGGGAGTACAAGTGGTTGCCTGAAATACAGGGTGGTTTTGGTAAGTCAGAAATTAGCAGACACTTTGATATCAAACAGTGGTTTTCAATATAGAAAAACTGACCATCTTCCAGTGAGCATCACAAATGCCCTTTGCTTATTTTGAATAAGTAGCACAAGGCCAATAACATCTGGATTCACAAGGATGCGAGTTTTAAACATAGCAGCTCAAATCCCTGCGTTCTATAAATCAGTATGATCCAGGAAAGCAGTGTTGTGTTGTACTAACTGGTCTGGCCTGACAAGAACTGATAATGTTATTGTACTTTCTCTTTTCAAAACAGAATTAACCTGTGACCAAAGAAGCCCATTTCTGCTTGGGAAAATGATTACTCTGTTGTCACTTTTCCTGCAAGGCTGTGTGCTGAAATAACAGCCAGAGTCTCTTTTCTCATTGCCAGTTGTGAATTGAGGCCCAGGGTAGTAAGCGTAAATATAATAAGCTTTTCACTCATGTCAAACCTCAAGTGTTAAGTGAGCCTTAAAAGAAAATCCCTAAGTGAGGCTGGGATTCCATCTCAAGCAGTCAGGGTGTTCCTTGGCAGCTGCTGCCTGGTTGGTGAGGTTTCAAATTGTCCCCATGTAGAAAGTAGCTTCATTCTGTAATTAAACCACATTCTACTTAAGAAAAGGTAAGGCCAATCAGATCACATATTTTCTGAATATTTTACTCCTATTCAAAAGAAAAAAAAAATCTGCGAACAAAATATTTTCTGTCAGGTACTTGGTGGATGGTTTGATCTTCTGATATGCAACACTAGGACTGCAAGTGTTTATAGTTATAGCTCAGGCTTTGCCTAGATGAATTTGTGCCTCCTGAGGAATGTGTTTATGAAGTGCACTTCATCTACTTATTTTTGTTTTAGGGGACTATGGGCTACCACAGCCTTGGTATTTCCCTGTGCAGGAATCTTACTGGCTTGGCTCTAGAAACCCAAAAGCTGAGAAAACAGCAACTGCTGATGGTGAGTTCTTTTAAAAGTTTGGTGTTTAGAAATAACTTCAAACTCACTGATCTGCTTAGAGATGACTACATAACATTTCCATTACCTGAGCTGCTGCAAAGATTAGAGACAGCCATATACTGGGAATCTTAGCAGGTGTCTTTGAACTTGAAGTGGCCTGCTATTATGAGAGTTGTTAGAGGTGAGTCAGTGTTCCATCTGAGAGACTTTAAAGCATGGATTAACAAGCAACATCAAACCCTGACTGTCTAACCAACACTTTTTGAGACATTCAAGGAGTTCTTATTGCTCAACACAGCATTTGCGAAATGAGTCAAAATGAAATACAATGTTGATCTTATTTACACTGTGGCTCCTCCATTTTTCTAAACCTAATTCTTTTCTATCTAGTTTGACACTAATTTAAGACTGTTTACTTTGGGTTTGTGAACAAGATCAAAACTTATGCCACCCTTGGACCAACTTGCATGAGTGATTGTATTTAAATAGGAATTAATGCAGAATTATGATTAATGTATGGAATAGAGGCTTGCTGAAGGTGGTGTTTTGAAATCTGTCTTAAATTTGCAAGGTAACAGTGAAACCAATCAAAATGACAGATGAAATAATTTCCTCAGTCGTCTCATTACCATCCTTACCCTTCTTCAACCCAGACTGCTGACAAGGCAGTCTCATCTCAGGGTGATACCTATAAACCAGAAGGGAATTAATCCTTTCTGTGAGCATACTGATAAGACATCAAGTGCTCACATGTTTTGATCAGAAAAGAAGAGGTTTCTAACATCAGGTTTTTTTGAAGAGGCTTTGCCTTCTGTTGCATTCTGAGGGAATGAACAGGTTTTCCTTTAGACTTGCTGTGAGGGTATTCAGAATGGTAGAGGCTTGTCTAGACATTATAGAGTCTGTTACCTGCTTCAACTTTGCAAATGCTGCCCACCAGATTAGAATTTGACTATATAGGAAGGAGGAGGAAAGAGCCAAAGGAGGATTTGGAGCATGTTCATAGAGGAATGGAAAATTTCCAAAGACCTAGATAAGATATCAGCCACTACATCTCATTGACTTTCCATGGAATTTGGGCATATCCTGCACCAGAGCTCCTTTGAATATCTCAAATTTGGAGCACAGTTACTTACAGTATTTTAACAATTTCTTGTTATTTAGTTTAAGCCTAAATTTAGTAGAAATTAAATCCATTTTCTTGTTATCTTAATGCTTCGTAAGTTCTGTGTGTTCTTTAATATATTTCCAACACAAAGTGGACTCATGATTTATTAGTACCCAAGCTAAAGGTTGTGAGAAGGCTTGAAAGTCCCAAAATATTCAATTGCTCAGGTAGGTCAGCAACAGAAAAGTTTATGGCTACTACTTTATTGCCAGGTTTTTTTCATTTTATGAGTTTTTAATAGCATTTTGAGATCACTTAGATAAACTATTTTGCTTAATTGAAACCTAGAGTTTATTTTGTAGGTGATGTTACATCAGATAGCTAAGCTGATCTAACAGTTCACTATTGAGGAAAAAATGGGGCAATCTTGCAGTCCCTTCCACAACTCTCATCCTAGTGCTGCTGATGCTTATCAGTCCCCGGTAAGATTAAGAAGTAGATCCTTCTGGAAGGCATTCCCAAGAACATGAAGGATAAAGTGATAGGAAACAACAAACATGGATTTACCAAGAGCAAGTCTTGCCTAACCAATCTGATTTTCTTCTGTGATAACTGGATCAATGGACAAAGGGAGAGCAGTGGATGCCATTTAACTTGACTTTAGCAAGGGCTTTAGCATGGATTCACATACTATTCTGATGGCCAAATTGATGAGATACAGGCTGCTTGAGTGGACACTGAAGTGGGTAGAAAATTGACTGAGTTGTTGGTCCCAAAGGATTGTGATCAGCAGTTCAAAGTGTAACTGGGGACCAGTTATTAGTGGCAGGCGTCTGACAGGGACTGACACTGGGCTTCATACTGTTTAATGACTTTATTAACAGCCTGAGTGATGGGTTAGAGGGCACCATGAGCAAGTTTGTGGAAGATACCAAACTGGAGGGAACAGTGAAATGCAGGGCAGCTCTTCAGAGGGACCTCAACAGGCTGAAGAAATGGTTTTATAGGAACCTCATGGAGTTAAAAAAAAGTAAATGAATAATACTGTGTCTGGAATGGAATAACTCCACACGATAATACAGACTGACCACCACTGGGCTGGCAGGCAGCTTTGTAGAAAGGTCTGTTTGACAACATGTTGAACATGAGCCATCAAGTGTGCCTGTGTAGCCAAGACCAGATGCATTGTGAACTTTGTTAGCAAGAGTATAGCCATCAATTCAAGGGAAGTGAGACTGCATGTGGAGTACTGTGTTGTCCAGTTTGGGGATCTTCATTGAAAGAAAGACATAGAATTACTGGAGAGAGCTCAGTAAAGAGCCACCAAGTTGATTAGGAGCTGGAGCATATAACATACGAGGAGATACTGAGCAAGCTGGATCTGCTCAGCCTTAAGAGAGAAAGCTGAGACAGAGCTAGACTTCTCAGGTGTGCCTAGTGGAAGTAGGATTGGCAATGGATGTAAGCTGGAAAACAGGAATTCTGATTCAATGTAAGAAAAAATCTTTATTGTGGGGTTAGAACACTGCACCAGGTTGCTCAGAAAGGTTGTGAAATCTCTATTTTGGGAGATAGTCACTGTGATCTGAGTTGGCCCTCTTTTTTGAGAATTAAATGGAGATCTTTGGAAATCCCTTCTGATCTAAATTATTCCATTCTTATCTCAGGCAGCCTGAGTGTGGTGATACTTACTTTGTCCTCTCTTCTACAAAACATTGCCTTGGGTTTTTTCAAGCAGGGACTGTTGCAAAGGTCATCTCTGATTAATTCCTTTGTAGAAGGCACGTGATTCTTGCGTATTTCAAGAACTAAGACTCTTCAGTGCCTCAGCTTACATCAACAACCTTAGAACTTTTCTCATATCTTTCCTTCATGGGTAATACTAAGCATTTTCTTAATTTATCATAACTAGTTAATGTGTTGGAAAGAAAACTGGATAAGAAAATATCAGATAATGTAAATGCACAGCTGAAAATGAAGCTAAACTAGTAAATTATCATGGTACTTTTAAAATTTCCTTCTATCAGTGCACTTTTGTGTCCCCCACTTTGCCATTTTAGGTGACGTGGTGAACTTGTTTATGTTGCTATTTGTGCATCAGGTAATTTTATACAGTTTTATGGGCTAAAATTTCTTATAGCAGAAAGTTATGGTGAAATTTCACAACAAAATTAAGTCCTAGGCTGTCTGAGAAATCACAGTTGTGCTAGTTGCAGTATAGGCTGCAAGCTTGAATTTGTATTGTGTAAACAGTCCCTTCAGGGGCTCCCTCTTCTTAAGTCACTGTTCTTCCTGCTTCAAACCTGTCCTCATTAGTGATTTTATGTGACTGTTTCCCTTTGTGGCAGCAAGGTCTAAGACCAAATTGCAAAGCCAGAAATTCTTGTAGAAAAGTTAACACCAACTCATTCTTTCTGGCCTGGAGCTAGCCTCTTAGTCTAAGTTAGCAGTTCAGCAGTTTGCTTTTCATTTAACCTTTTCATTTTATTTTCCTTCCTCTCACTACCTGTAAGTCTGGGAAATGTTTGTATAGCCTTTCTCTTCATGTGATGAAGAATTTGGTCTAGAGCTGCAAGGGCAAAATATAAAGTATGTACCTAATATTAGTCAGGATCTTCTACTCTGAATCTGTAATTGCAAAGTTGTCAGTCGTCTTCCTTAAATATCTGTTCCTGACACTGTGAAGCAGATTTTAAGCTAGATGGCTTTGAGTGCTGTGTTCCTAACCTGAGTAAAGCACTGATGATTAATGCTCTTGGAGACCTCAAGGCTTAGGACTACATCTTTTTCCTCAAAGTACCTCTAGGGTTAAGAGGAAATAAAATTTTGGTTAATTAAATGTTGGTTAATTTTGGTTTATATAGAAAAAAGTCCAGAGTCAGAAGGCTGTGTGGATCAGAAGGCCATGGAAGTGGAAAAAAATGAAAGCAGAACGAAGAAATCTGAAGAATCTGAAAAGCCAGAAGAAAAGAGTGACAACCAGGGGGAGAAGGATGGTAAAAACAAACAATGTAAACACAAACGAGAAAAAGAACCCGGCAAGCAGGGGAAGCCTAAGACAGATGTCCAGGACAAAGATGAAATTAATAGTAAGGAGAGAGAGCAACCTGAGTACTTCTGAGATACTATACTCATTGTGCTTCATAACAAACTAGATGTAGGAATGACTGGAGTCAAACTACAAGAGCCCAGTAGGCTACAGAGGATAGCATGTGACTGCTAGAGCTAAGCTCAGGAGGGGCACTGATTCTCCCAGCTACCCTCTTACTGATTCCTCTACATTCACAATCCCTTAGAATGTTTTAGCCACCACGCAGAAGAGAACTGCCTTTCAGAAGAGCTCTGTAACTTGGTTTTTTGTTGTGCAAATGGAGGCTGTTTCTATGGCGAGTTAGTGTTCATGCTGAGGGAAACCTCAAACACGTATATATTGAACTCTTAGAATTAAACAGAGCCATGACTTCAACAAAAATACTTCTGCTGAGAGGAATGTTCTTCCCTCCTAGCC